TCTGCAGATATCGGTAAAATATAGGTATGGCTTTTGCAAAATTTGAAAGAGCAACCAATATTCTTTCAAGCTGGTATTTTTTTAGATTTAATTTTTCATTCTGTTTGACTGTTTTTTCGAATTTAAAAAATGTGAGCTGGCTGGAGCCTTCATCCCTTGTCTTATTTCTTACACTAGGTACTCACTGATCCCCCCCCCACTCATATGGACTGTGTACAGTTGATTATAGTTATTGGGATCCCTGTGATTTTACAGCATGCAAAAACATGCATGCACATTTTAGAAGGGATGATTGATTTCATTTGTATTATCAGTGATTAGTCCTGCACACATAGCCATAGTTGTAAGAAATTTCTATTTTCTTCATTATACGTTACTTCATATACCTCTCATATTTTGTTTATTTTTTTATTATTATAGCTTATTGTTATGAACTGTTATTTCCAAGGATTTAATCAAATGATGATTTCATTTCTACACAAAAATGAAATCATTCTAATTTCTAAATCCTCCTGAAAGATGCCAACACAAGTCTTATTTAACCTTGTTTTTCGTCAAATATTCTCACCCGGGTCTGTTTTAGGGGGCGTGTCATGTTTACAACTCGACTGATACTTTATATAGATATGTACGCCACCACTTACCTTGACAAGAGCAGACAGAAATGCAACAGAGAAGGAATACAGTAATTCGCATCATTTTCACGTAAATCTGTGGCGAGAGACAACTTTTAATGAATGTGAAAAAAACTATTATAAAAGTTCTTGTAGCTGGCAAGTGACGACGACCTCGGTCATGTGACGAATTGTGACACGATCTATTTGAGTACTTCCGGGTTTACGCAGTATCTGCAAAAAAACAAGAGGGACTAGCTTATTCAAGGAAATTAAACACGAATGCTACCACTCCTACAGATCAGCAAATTACATTCATTTATATAATAACATCTCGATTGAAAATCAAGTTTTGAGCTCACCGTGGTTACAGTCATTCAGCGAACAAACCACGTGAGAATCGAAAACACGTCGCCATCTTCAGGAACGTTTATGATATATCGCCCTCATACGGCCGACATTTCAATTGTATTCACACGTTTGTTTTAAATTTATTGCGTTTCGTTATTAATCGACCAAGCAAAACATCTTTTTAATACGATGCGGGTTTATTCCCATCTTCGCAGAAAGGCACACTAACAATATCCTGTGTCAACACAGGTTTGTTGTAGCACGTGTTCATCTATCTAGTCTGCGGTTTTTCATCTTTCTTTTTTCAGTTAAATTTTTCCAAATACTATGAACACAAAAAATCTATTCCCTTTCAATGACAGTTAAATCTATTAATAAAACAGCCTATCAACCAGGCCACGGGGCGCACAAGTCGGACGCCCTCACAGTTTCCCGTGAGAGTAAAAGTAAATATAAACACACATAGTGGCGCAGAAAGAGGCTCCTTAGCGAAGAATTTGTTTTGCTGTATGCAGTGTACTGGAAACCTCTCTGATAAAGTCTAAATTTGTGGGAGACAAAATTCTATAGTCAATGAAATGTGAAAGAATTATTACATTTATAATTTGTACACTATGTTGCTTAGTGCTGTTAATGCAATTAGTTTTACCAACAGTACATGTGAGAGAATTACATCACACTTATTGTCGAATATGTCACTATTTAAATATTTTGATTTTATTTCTGAATTATATTTGTTATATCTTTCTTCACATCGGAAATATATAAAGAAATAAGACATCACATCAGATAATATATTTTACACAAACAACAAAATTATAGCACCAGTTGCATGTCCCTACCTGCAACAGTTATGCCCATTATTGAGGTCACATGACCATATATAGTTATCTGAAACATTAGTCATATCATATCAAAAGTATTTAAGTACCAAGATTCATTGACATAAGAAGAGTACTTAATATATTGATGGAAAAGCTGAAAACTGACTAATTATTATGCAAATCAGGTAATTAATATTCACAGATTTTAATGTCATAATAAGGTCTTGTGCATTGTCCAAAAGCATCCTTGTTCATTGAAATGTGATGATTAGTACTTGAGATAGTGGAAAAGCCAAAAAATGACTAATCATGTAAATTAGGTGATTAATATGTCACTCTTACTCAAAACTAATTAGGTCTGTGCATATCCTAGAGCATATGTGTACCAAGTTTCATTGAAATGTAATGATTAGTACTATAAATATACTAATTATGCAAATTAGGTAATTAATATGCATGGATATTAACCCACAACTTATCAGGTCTGTGCATTGTCTTAAGACATCTATGTACCAAGTTCCATTGTAATGTGATGATTAATACTTGATATCTGTGCAAAAGCTGAAAATTATGCAAATCATTATGCAAATTAGGAAATATACACAGATTTTGCATTGTCCCAGAGCATCTATGTACCAAGTTTCGCCATAATTCAATCAGTGGAAAAGTCATGGAACAGCTAAAAATTAGCTAATTATCATGCAAATTAGGTAATTAATACTGTAAAACATGTTTAAAAATCGGCATGCAATTTTAGAGAATTGTGGTAATTGATTTCTTTGTTTGGCAGCCATTTTGAATTTATAATAAAGTCATTTGCGATATCTTGAATTAGTGAATCAGTTCTCTCGCTAAATTCGCGAAAAAGACATGCTCGCGAAAAATACATGTTTTACAGTATGTATCGATTTAAACCAAAACCTAATCAAATCTGCACATTAGCCCAGAGCATCTATGCATCAAGTTTCATCAAAAACCAACATATTATTGAGATATCAGTGAAACAGACAGACACCCCCCACCCCCACTGTGTGCTTAATTAAAAATTCTATCTACTGGGTAAATCATACATTTATAAATATAGGCAGAAAGGAATTAAGTTAACTTTGATGGTATTGAAATCTTCTACAGCAGTAAATAAATGGATAGAATGTGTAAAGATTCAGCTTATTCTGTACATATTTTTTTTATTAATTCTCTGTAAAGTGAAAGCCGTGAAAGTTTTGGGAAGGAATTCAAATCAAAACAATATATATTTTAATATTTAAGATACTTTCTTACTCATATAAAATTAAATATATTATAAAATTATGCTGACATGTAACTACAAATCAACATGATATTTGAAATATAAAAAAAAAACAATTGTTATGACCATTCGTAAACAACTTAATTTTATTTCACTATAGAAACCAAAGGTAAACAGTGAACAATGCATCTACGAATAGCAATTGTCATTACATACACAGTACAGACAATACATATCACAAGAGAAAAGTATAATGTTTGTAGACTTATTTTAAATCAATAACACAACAAAATACATTTAATTAGTTCTCAAAGTTCATTGTCAAATATATATATAATAATTCATGCATGGAACAGTCCCAGTTTTAATCAAATTTAAGATCTATAGTTTTGTTTATAGTTTGAACACAAACATGTTAGAGATATAAATCCAGAAGCTGATTATTATGATTTTTTAACATTAAAATAATTGACATTTGTCATCTTGTATCTGATCTCAAATAATGACTGTTCATATTGAGAGATATTGCTCTGGAACAGCATTCATTTTAACAAAATGGCCTATTTTGGACATCTGAATATCTATGACATGATGTATAATGAATATTTGAACATAATCGGTCAAAGCATGTCAGAGATATGGCTCTAGAAATGCATTCATTAAAACAAAATGGCCACCAGTCAGCATTAAGGACCTATAATGTCTAATGTATGTACCAAGTTGAACAAAATCTATCTGTAAACAGCCGTGATTTTGATGATTTTTCAGCAAAAAAATGGCCGCCATTCAGCCAAGTTGAATCAGATCAGTAAACAAATGGATGTGCATATGTATAATATTATGTACGTTTGAAGTTTGAATGTAATAGATCCAGGCATATCTAAGATATCGGTCTGGACAGACACTGATGCTAAGAGGTCAATCCATAATTCTCGTTTTCGAACTGCGTTCAAACTGGGACTAAACATGACCGCCAGTCAGCCACTTTGAATCTGATCTGAAAAACAAAATGATGTGCATCAATATCCCATAAAGTCTAATGTATGTACCAAGTTTGAATAAAATCCATCTGTAAACAGCTGAGATCTTGTTCTAGAATGCCAGAAATTCTTGATTTCAATGGTTTTTCAGCACAAAAATGGTTGCCATTCAGCCATATTGAATCAGATTGGGCATATGTATAATATTATGTATGTGTGAAGTTTGAATGTAATCGGTCCAAGCATGTCTAAGATATGGGTCTGGACAAACACACACACAAATGCACTCACAGAAGGCAATCCATAAGTCCTCGTTTTCAGATGGTGAAAGCTGTAGTTGCAGTACATTATAGGGTCCTACCATGGAGTTACGATGTGACCAATGGTATAAAAGGATTCCTAACTTCCATGAATTTAGTACATACATGCTGATGGCCAAATTTAAAATATTTTATTTTTTGATAATTATATACTGGTATTGCGCCAAAAGTCTTGGACATGATATAGTTGTTTTATTTGTAATGATAGTACATGTGGCAATGCTACAACTTCAATTAATAAAATATTAGAAATAGGGTATTTTTGTTTTTTTCTTTAAAAACAATATGGCTGCCAAGCCACATGATCAAACATAATTTTGAAAATCAGGTGCATCAGTTCACATTATAACCCAATGAAACAATTCTGTTCAAAAGTTCTCTAGCAAATCTCAATTAAAAAATGAAAATGGCCCAAAACCCATATAGGCTTGGATCCCTGAAAAAGCGTTAGAGCAAATATACATTTTAAAACAATGAAGAAAGAAATTAAATACTTTAATTAACGAGACGCCAAAAATGAAAATAATATTATCAATTATTTGGCCAGACAAAGTTGGCCATTTTAAGTTTTAACTGATTTGACATAGCAAGGCAGAAATGTTACATTTTGTTGGCAGTATAGCAGTATATTTTTTATATTCATTATCAAATGCAAAATATGGAAATTATCAAAGTATGACATAGAACAGGGTTGATTCGGGTTTTTGATTCAATTTTTTGATTGTTTACGCCACAGCCAGAACTATTTTGCCTCCATCAACACATTTCATGATGCTCACACTTCAGACCCTGACAAAATGTACATATCACTTTTTTATTATTGAAACTAGTTGTTTATTTAATTCTAATCTATTCATGATAGGAACTACACAAAATCAGAGCTATGCCTTGTATACTTATTTATTGTGATTTCTTTAGTTTCTTGAAAATATGTAATATGACTGAACAATTTAACATGATCATAGTTTAGGAATAATTTTTTGAGTAGCTAATTTGTAATTGCACTAATTTAAAAATGTAGCATTATTTAAAAGACACAAAGGCAGTTTATGTAAATTAGGATTATTCTGGTAATTCATCCATTGAGCCGAATTCACTGTGGCTATTTCACAGTATTTCTCCATCAATAATGTGCTACAAAAAATTACCAAGCTGACACAAAAGTTCAAAATTTGATTGAGTATGGTACTTGGAAAAGAGAGAATGCCCAGTTTGGCCAAGATACCCAGATTGACTATTAAATGTACCTAGATAAGCCATGATATCCATAATTGCTGTGATATATATATATATATATCAACAATGATACCTAGAACCAATGCAATACCCATATTGTTGTTAATACCCAGATTGACTTAAAGCGGGGGATTCGTCACCTGTGCATGCGTCAGATGGCCATAGCTTATCATCGTTTACAAACAAGCGTCTATCCATGAGCCTTTGCGTTTTTAGCGTGTGTTGTTATCATCGCTTGGGTCTCAATTCCTGCACGTGCACATGTGACGACCCTCCCGCTTTAAGATACTTTAATGCCCACATTTAAAATAGTATCCCGGTAGGATACATGCTATAGTAATGGCTTTGTTGCTAAAATTCTTCCTCCTTTAAGTTTTCCACTGGTGAATGAGTCAGCCACGACAGTGTAAAATAATTCAAGAGCGGCAACAGTTTCTAGTCCTAGAACACGTGTGTGCCGCTCTTTCTTTGATTGAAAGTCAGTCAGCCTCGTGGTACAGTGCTCAGTCCAGTCATCAGACATGTCAAGCACCTAGTAAAATAAAAATGGTTGTCAGCAACATAGATGCATGCTCCATAAAAGATTTTAATCAAGAAACAAATACTATGATCACTCACTTGAACTATCGTTGAATTAACTCATAAATATTTATTTATAAAATTAACATCCACGCCTTTGTGTTGCTCACTGTACCTGTATATCTGTGAATCCAGCTTGACTTAGGGAGTCTTTATAAGACTCCTTATCCGGCAGATTAGGACAATAAACTACAGAGTCTAATAATTTCTTTTCATCCGATGTGAAAGTACCTTGTGTCCAGAAATCCTCAGCAAACCTACAATGAAAAGTTGATCTGTTCTCTAAATGGTCTATTATGGAATGCAAAGTAACACTAACAAAGGCTTAAGACATACGAAAATGACTACACTATCAAAATTCAGCTAAAACGCTGTAATGAGTGTGAGCTATTTCCAAAGTTATTGTGTATCACCATCCAAAATAAATTCAAGTTCACTCATTGGATATCTCTATGTATCTTATGTTTCTTTTCGTAACAAATTTAGGCGAGGGTTCTCCGAACCCGCCTAATCACATAGTTCATACCCACCATAGACTCCGGTCAGTCAAAATGACTATTTTGAACTGTCGGTGACAGAGAGATAGAATCTAGGTCAGGGGAAGCCCCATGACCTCAAGATTCTTTTACCCCTTACGTCACGAACCCACGTGACCGAGGCCACATGGCAGCGCCATAGGTAGCCGTCAATCACTCTGGTTCGTTTCTCTCCTAAATTCACTACGTTCAATTACCCACAGAAAACAGAAAAAAAAAGGAGAATGATGAAAGACTTTTCCCCAGTCCGGGATGAAAACAAACTCAAAAACCTAAGTTAAGACCCAAGAAGGGTGGTGTCTTACTTTGCCTGTGCTGTCCCCGAAGCAAGAAGCCAATGCTGCTGTGGTGACAGGGTTCGGTGTGCCCGAGAAAGCTAGACCCAAGCCGAATTCTGGGGGTGGTAAGTTTGAAGTAGGACCGAAACAGTTTGCATGAGGGCGTAGGTCGACAGAAGCGAAACCTGGGAGCTTCCAGGAAGTGCTAGTGGTACAGACAATCTGCCCGCAAAAATGCCGAGACTGACTTATTGCCTATGCGCAGAGGCCCCTGTGGTCGTTCGGGCTGGGTCAGCAAACAAGGCCTGACCCGCTACGACCGGGCCTAACCTGAAGAGACCCTGCTCTATAGATTGGGTGTCTCTTAGGTAGTAGTTGATGAAGACGTTCTGCGTCCTCCAGAAGCCTGACCTCAGAATATGTTTGAGGGGGGCGTCTGACGCTAGCGCTAGTGAGTTAGCAATCGCACAGACCTCATGTTCTCGCACTTGGTGTCTCTGCAAAGTCTGTGTTGAGGAGGATAGTGCATTATGGACCTCCAGTACAGTCGCAGTAATCCACCTGGAGATGGAAGTCGGAGAAGCCGGCTTATCCTATTTGCCAGGGCCGTAACACAAAAACATGTGTTTGGTTCCCCGTCTGAAAAACCTGGTACGGTTCTCGTGGCAACTCAGCGCTTGGACCAGGCAGAGAAGCAATTCCTCCTGATCCTCCGGACCGACAATATTTGCTAGCCGGGGGATGGCGATCGGGTGAGGATCGTGTCCTGGGATTTGGTTCTAGGCGAGAATCCCGATTAGTGTCTTTAGCACAACTTGATTGTCCATAACGGCGGTACATCATCCGAGTAGGACAATGCTCCCCAGCTCTGGCCGAAGCCTACCTGAGGCGAGGACCAGAAGGAAGACTATTTTTCACGCCAAAAATTTGAGTGGTGCTTGATCGGAGAGGCTCAAAGGGCGGCCTGCTTACAGCGGACAACACAGCCGACAAGTCCCAGTTGGGCGGTCCCCTTGTATGGGGTCTCAGCGTCTGGAAAGCAGTAAATAGTCTTCTAATAATAGGACAATCGGTTAGTCTTGTTCCCGTACGTTTGAATGGTGGGGGACAAGGCCGACCTGTAGCCAACGATCACTGCGTAGGACAAACCCACTTCGTCAAACAGGTGAACGAAGGAGCCGGCTACCTGGCCAATAGAGGGATGGTATCGATCAATCTCCCTTCGCTACACTAACCAGTGTATGTTCGCAGCTTAGAAATGTAGGCTGCATTGGTGGAATCCCTGTTCGCCCTGGCCAGGACGTTGGCAGCCTGCTCAGATAAAACTTTCGTATATGCGGGTCTAATGAGAGCCTCTATGCGTGTAAGTGATACCCGCTGGGCTCGTGGTAGTGCGCCGTCTGGTTGGGACGGCAAGTCCGGTAAGTCCAGAAGCACTGCTGGTGTTTCGACTATCGTTTCCGATAGAAGTGGAAACTAGGCCCTGTTTGGCCAATTGGGTGCGACCAATGATAATATGCAGGTGCCCACCTGTCGAAGTCTTCTCCGGTGCTCGGTGTACTAGCGGGAAGGAAGGAAAGGCGTACACAACTAAGTGGGTCCGCGGGGTAGCAAAGCGACCCTGGCCCAGGCTCCTGGAGTCAGCAGGAGTGTTACGTACGTCAGGAGCTTGGTGTTCCGGGGTGCGGCAAACGGTTTAAATTTGGACCGTCCACAGCCGAAACAGCCTGGAGGCTACCCACAGGGATATCAGCCACTCTGTGCCCTGAAAGGGCGTCGCCAGACTGTTCCTCACCCCTGGAAGGTGGTGTGCGGTTAGCTCCACATTGTATTCCAGGCACCAAAAGAGGATTTTGCTCCGCTAGGACTGACAACGATGGGGAATGCGTCCCCCCTCCTTCTTGAAGGAGACCACCGCTGCATTGTATCTTTGGAGCAGGAATCTGTGATCTCGAACTACGGGTAGAAAGTGTGGTAGTGCTAAGTACACTGCTTTCAGTTTGAGCCAGTTGATATGGTAGTCCCAAAACTATGCGGGAGTCTTATCCTTGGGCTTGTTCGTCCAATAGATGCGCTCCCCAACCCTAGGGGGAGGCATCTGTTACCAGAGTCATATCTGCGGCGAGCGGGTCCAAGGAGGCCCCTCTGCCAGAGGTTGGCCAGTGACAACCACCAGGGCAGGGCTTCCTTCACTTGGTCCGAGATCGAAACCCGCCTATCTAGTTCCCATAGGAGAGCTCGGCGTTATAACAAGCGTTATACCGGGCGGCTACGTAGTGCGGCCTGGGGAACGACCCTTTGAACCGGGATCATCATTCCGATGATCCGCATTAGTTCACGGAGGGACACCGAGGGAACGCTGACTAGGCATTCGGCTAGGCTGCTTAGCGCTAAGCAATACACTTGAAATAGCTAAGCCAAGCTTATCTCTGTGTCAAAACTCCATGCTCAGGGACACCAACTGTGCGTTGGGTCGAGGTGGGACTTGTCGATTTACTAACGAGCCCAACTGGTGAAGTAAATTCTGTGTTAGCCTGACGCGTTTGGCTATTACCCCTTGCCTGGGTTGTTGGTAACCAGTGGTCTGGAAAACTGGATGCCTGCCACTTGTAGATTTGGTATTACGAACACATTTGGGTAGTAGCCTGGACTTAGTTCTGGCTGACGTACCCTGTGTATGGCGTCTTTCCCCAGCAAACTGCTACTTCCTGTCTGATTGCTTCCGCCTTGCGGGAGTCCCCTGGCAGTGCCCACTGGAGATTTCAGCGGTATCCCGTAAACGGATGTCACCACCTGGAAAGGTCCAGGTATCGGTCACCCGCCGTCTCCAAACCGGACTACACCGGCGCAATCTGTGTACGACAGGGATATGTGGCCATGTGTTCGGCAGTTGCGAGGGGAGGGTGCTCCCTTCCCCCATGAGGTGAGTTCCCCAAGGCCTGAAGTAGTCACTAAGTTGTGACCTGGCCACTCATCGAACACGTGTTGCCTGGACTAGGAGGCTGGTGCGTTCTGCCTCCAAGGTCGCCAGAGTGCTGGGCATGCATAATAATGCGCTCAAGCAACTCTACATTCAGGGGTGGATGGGTCTCCTCACAAAAATGCATTTTAGCAATATATTTGGAATAGTGAATCAAAATTGTGTTTTACTGATACCCTACAAACAAGAGACCTGCAAAATTTAATAAAACATTTCAGTATGACAGATTTTGATAAAACTCAACAGTCTGTTAATCAAGCAGGTATTTTACTTTCAGAAATTTATCTCACAGCAGCTGGCAATTGTCTAAAAAAACGTATTATAAAGAAATGTAAAACCAATAGGACAAACACAAAAACTTGTAAACCAAAATGGTTCACAAGTGAACTCTCTCATATGAAAAGAACAATTCAAAAATTGTCAAATAATGTAAGCTCAAAACCATATGATAAAGAATTGAGGATAAAAAGCTACAACCTAAAATGTAAATACAAGCATGAAGTGAAGAAAAAAAAGAGAGAATTTAAAAATGAAATATTACAAAAATTAGAAGGGTTGAGTAAATCATGTCCAAAAGACTATTGGGACCTAATAAAAGAACTAAAACCCAAGCAAACAGACACTGACTGTCAAAACATTGAAAGTCAAAAATGTATGACCACTTCAAAAACCTAAATTCAGACAAAACAGAAACAGACTTGCACATACATGAAGAGCTAAAACAAATGGAAACATTAAATATACCCCATAATAAATTAAAATCAAAGTATATCCCAGCTTGAAATTCACACAGCTATAAATAACCTAAAAAATGGTAAATCTCCAGGTGTAGATAAAATAACTAATGGAATGATAAAGGCAGGCAGACACATACTAATCAGTCAATTACAAAAGCTATTCAATTTAATTCTAACTACTGGCCATTTTCCAGATTGTTGGAATCTAGGTATAATAACACCCATATTTAAAAAAGGAGATAAATGTGACCCCGGAAACTACAGGGGAATAACTTTAATTAATACATTAAGCAAGCTTTTCACTGCAATTTAAAATCAAAGAAAGCTTAGAAAGAACTCCCATGTGCTGAGAGTATTGAAGACACATTAAATATAATTCGAAATTACTTAGCTGAAAACTAATTATGCAAATCAGAAAATTAATATGACCAGATTTGAGTGTAAAACTAATGAGGTCTGCGCAATGTAACAGAAAATCTATGTCTCCAAGTTTAATTGAAATGTGATTAGAACCAAAAAATTATGAATTATTATGCTTATTAGGGAATTAATATGAACAGATTTTT